TGGACGCACGTTAGGCGAAAGCCTGTTTTCGTCCTAGAAACCTGACCTGACCTGACCTTACCTGACTCTCAAAATCGTATTCCTGGAGCAGTTCTTGCCACCGTGCTAGTTGGCCCGAGGGGTCTTTAAATTTCTGGAGCCACGTAAGCGATTTGTGATTTGTGCGTACGAGGAATCTTTTTCCCAACAGGAACGGCCGAAACTGCTTCAGGAAATGAACAACAGCCAGCATTTCCCTTCGAGTCGTGCAATAGTTCCGTTCACGTTGTGAAAGGATGCGACTCGCGTAGGCAGTCACCCGTTCCCCGGTGTGTGGTTGTCTTTGGGAGAGGACGGCCCCGATAGCGGTATCACTGGCGTTGGTGTCTAGGACAAATGTTCCCGCTTGAGAGGAGCAGTTTGGGTACGCCAGGATTGGAGCGGTGCACAGTCTCCGACGCAGTTCTTCGAAAGCCTCGTTCTCTTTAGGTGTCCAAATGAATTGAGCACGTTTCAGAAGCATGGCAGTTAGTGGTGCTGCTACCTGGGCGAAGTTCGCTACCTAGAGTCGATAGTAAGAAGCTAGTTCGAGAAAACGTCTTACTTCATCCGCCGAGACAGGCGTGGGCCAGGATGTGACTTACTCCGTCTTCATGGGGTCGCATCGAACGCCGTCTTTGGAAATGATGTGACCTAGAAACCTAACTTCCCGCTGGAGGAACCGGCACTTGGAGGGTATAAGTTTCAGTCAAAATTCCCTGAATCGGCCAAGCAATTAAGCTAAGTTCACCTGATGCTGCTCCAGGGTACGACTGTGGATGATGACGTCGTCTAGGTACACGAGGCATTTTTCAGGGACCAGACCACAAAGTGCGATGTTCATCAGCCACTGGAATGTAGCATGTGCATTCGCCAGTCCGAACGGCATAGTTTGGAATTCTCACAACCCGGATGGAATAGTGGACGCGGTTTTCCTGCGGTCGTCCGGGTGCATCTCAACTTGCCAGCATCTGGATGCCAGGTCAAGTGTGTTGAAGAAATTATCTCCCCGAGGTCATCAAATGTCTCATCTATTCTTGGCAAAGGGAAAGAGTCCTTCTGTGTAACGGCGTTCAAACGGCGGTAGTCAACACACAGTTGAAGATCGTCATCTTTATTTTTGATGAACACTATTGAGGAGGCCCAAGGGGAGTCGGATGGTTGGATGATTTTTCGAATTAATAAGTCGTCAATCATTTCTTGGAGTTGCTTCTGGTAATGGACGGGTATGCGGCGTGGGGCATAACGGATTGGACGACTGTCTCCCGTATTGNGCTGGACGGCCTTTGTGTCCGATGTCGGTGTCATTCCAAGCGAACACGTCGGAGTAATCCGCCAGGACCTTCTCGAACCCTTCCCGTGGTGCAATATCAGTCTCAAACGACCGGGTCGCCGTCCGTGAAGCTGCTGCTGATGCAACCGGGTCGAAGTATGATGTGCCTCCTTTGCAGAATGGTAGCACTTTGCTTCCGATTGTCATATGCGAGCGTGTTATGTCGATCACGGCGCCTTGTGATCGAGGGAGGTCGACACCTAGGATAACGTCCCAAGGAAGGTGCGGTGTGACTGTCGACTGCTGCCGGACATGAAGGTCGCCTGCATGAAGTTATGCAATGACCGAACCATGTGTTTCAATTTGCGCTCCATTCGCAGCAATCAAATTCCTACAGGGTGTCGGGATACTCTAGCATGTCGCGGAACCGCGGTCGACTTCACCAGCAAACAAGCTGCTCCTGTGTCTACTAGAGCTTGTACCTTCTTACCCCATAACAGGACATCGATTAAAAGTGACTGTGTGGACAGTGCATTATCATGAAAGGGGCAAATAGGTACGGTGAGTTCAACACTCTGGGACTCACTTGGGCCGTTGTGTCCGCAAAACCGGGCCTGTGCACCAAATCGCCGGCAGTAATCACAGTTGCCGCGCTCTGTTGACCACCGAGGAACTCGGCCACGACCCCGCTGATAGGCGCCTGCTGGTCCGGAGTTGGGCTGCGGTGGGCGGCTGTAACTCCGAGGTGTCCTGGAAGGGCCGGCAGTCAAGGCGTACGACGGTGCCGATAGCTGGTACTGGCGTATAACATCTTCCAATAGTTCCTCCTCCCGCGCGGTATCGATCGCCTGCTGAACAGTCTACGGTCTGTAGCGGTGGAACTTTCGGATGAGGCCGGCGTTTCAAACACCCACGTGTATCTGATGAAGAACTTTCTCCCCGGTCTCCCGTGGCAACTCAGGAAACGCGTCGTTCACCAATCGGCGGAGGGCGGGTACATAAACGTCGAATGGTTCATCGGGTTGTTGGACCCTAGTTTGAAACTGGAACTGTAGAAGCATGAGATTCTTGAGCATAGTGAGGGCGGATCGGATCTGGGTGAACGTATCGTCTGTGATTTCCTCATCCAGGATGCCATACTGCAGTACAATAGCACGAGCATCTGTATCCAGGAGTGATAACAGAACTTTCCGACTTTCGGCGGGGAGAAACAAATCCACATAGATTTTCGCATCAGCTACCCACAGGGAAAAGTCGTCTCCGAGAAAAAATTTGTTGGGAGCGGGATGGTGGGGACTGAATATGTGTGTACAAATCCTCAAGCAATGACGGAAGAAAATAGGGTCATTAGTTGGGATATCAGGCGTCTCAGTTGCTCCGTGAGCGAAGCGCTTTTCGGTGAAGAAGCACAGTCGTCGGTGGAACGCTTTATGTTCTGCTGGCAGGGTCGCCAACTTTGTAGTATACGAACAGGGAGTGGACGAACCAGACTCACTGAAGTCACGCGAGCAGTGTCGAATAATCCTCGTTTACACCAGGATCGAACTGGCTGAAAAGGGAGCACAACAGTTAGCTGCGTAAACACGGAACAACAGTCGTCGTATAAATCCACAAGGAAGAACACAAGGTCGAGAGACGACGTGTTTTGTCAACAGTAACGTGGGTCTAAACGGAAACGATACGGTGTGTCAATCTTGGCCTGCGTGAGACAAGTCTCTTTTACAAACAGTGAAAAAAATACTGTCGGTCTTTCGAGTCAATAACAATCAATATCATGCCTCACGATTCGTCTCTCGATTGATGTTTCTGTTTTCATGTCGAGCATAGTGATTATACTCTGAAAGGCAAAAGAAAGAAAGACAAATTTAGGCGTTGGGTTTGAATATGGGTTGCACACAACACTGAAAAGAGAACTCAAACAGCACGGTAACTCTCAAAGTAAGGTCAGGTCAGGCTGCACGGGACTGAATATGGCCACGGCCAAGCGAGGGTCCAGAACTCCTTTGATGTTATGCTCACAACGTGGGCACCCGGCACCGCTGAAATGAAACTGAGAAAATGGGTTCGCATCTCACCAAGTTGGCGAGAGAATTGTTAGACGTGAGCGTTTTATTACGTTTGCCATTGAAAAAGATAAATGGCGTCCTAACAATTGGCACACCTACACTCGTCTACACTGCCAGAGATGGGAATATTTCTACCCATCGCTTGTCAATTGCAGTCTCAAAGGCCTGCACTGTTTGAAGGTCGACTATTTCCTGGGGAAGCCGGTTCCAGCTATCGACTATCCTATTACTGAAAAAGTGCTTTCGCATGTTTAGTCGACATCTTTTCTTCATGAACTTGAACTCATG